CATTTATGACAGACTTTCTACCGCGAGTAAATTCATGAATCTTCAAGCTTGGTGGCAACAGGAATGGCTAGCAATACTGAGAAGACAAAAGTTAAAGATCGAGTTCTGGTGCGACCAATAAGGGAAATTATAAAAAATAAAATTGTTTAATTGCAGGCGCCCCTCGGCAGGGAATGCCGGTATGTGCAGTCCTCCAAGTCTATCTCTGCATTGAAATAGAAAGCTGCACATAAAAACATTCCCTCCGGCCCTCGCAGGCGGCTAGAAATATACTTTAGCTCATACCGCAAATTGGTACTGAGTTGAATTTTTGACAATTTTTAAAAATAGACAAAAATTAAAGTAAATCTTGGCAAGTTTTCAATACTCAAGTAATACACTTAACTTACATATAACTTACTCAACACATTTAGAAACTGATGAGTTTTGGATAAGTTAAACACTAGTCTCATTGGAAAGAAAAAAATATTTTCATATTACAAATATTCTTTACAGTTTCAAATGATGGGTAAAAGGCATTCAAATCTTTTACTTTAGTAGATATTTATCTCTACTGGTGACCCGAAAGTTAAGAAAGCTAGAGGCTATAAGATACATCACCAGCAGAAGAAAAAAAAAAAGTAACAAATAGTTCTAATCGCAAAGTCATGCCGTTCTGTGAATTTTTGGTCTAGTTCATAACTTTAAATATGCAAAAAAAAAAACAAATATGTAAAATGATAACAAAATTCTAAATGTCTAAATAAATGAGAAAAAAATCAGATAAATCTTGATAGGCCATCAGAAAACCAGAGGTTAGAAAATTCCACCACTGGCGTACCGATGCTATGTTTGGTGTTTGTACATATAAAGCAACACAAAACGGTTACAACTAACTAACTAAACTTTAATACAACTCAAATTGCTCGCACAACATATCATCACAAGCTCTTCTAAAATTAGAAACTAGTAGGAAACTAGTTACTTTTGTGTCAAAAAGTGAAAAAGATCTGCAATAAATAACAACTTCACGCACATATTCCGTTGAGCCATTTACATTTCATACTTTTCACCGCTGGTGTGCTGATTGAGCATAAAATTGAGATTTTTTGCTTAATTACAAATGCAATCACTCATAACATACGCAACTGATTGACCATTATAAACTTCCATAAACTCAATCAAAATTAAAGTTTTATGAATTACGCAGTAGCTCGATACCAGCAGTAGGCAATATCAAAATACCACAATAACAGCAAATTGTGAAATTTCTAAATATCGAGCTTTTAATTGATTTAAACTTACGTTCGTAACCAAAAAAAGCTCTCCAAGTCCTTGTGGGTCAACTAGCTTATAATGGTAATATTTGAAATTGAAATTTAGTTAATTTTAATCTTCCGCTCTTATCTGTTTAGCAACTGAAATTTTATTGAATTAAAGCAGAAATAAATGGAATTTATGCTAAAGCGTGAAAATATTATTTGCACAGAATTCGAAGGTAAAATTCAAAAAAAAAAAAATTATCTATAAAATATATGTAATTAAATCGCCTTAAAACTGCTCTAAGCCTCAAGTCACTCACATGGGCAGGTGGATTTGTTATGCAGTCAGCAGTGTTACAATGATACATATAAAAACCAAATTTGTGTAAGCTTAAGCAGACAAAATGCCTTTTTTTTTAATTTTTGACAGACATTACTGCGGAGAGGCGCAACAAAACAGCAAATAATAAAAACATAAAAGAAAACAAAAGCAAGAAAGCAATATTATGAAAAATTCCTACAGATTTTTGGTTGCTTTTTTGTTTTTTCTTTGCTTTGCCCATACGCAACGAAACTAAAACAGAAACAAAAGGTAGGCGAGTAAACAAGTAGAAAGCACTAAAGGAGTCCACATTGGTACCGCATGGTGCCCCAACGCCCCTTCTTAACATTTGTCACCACCTAAGTCAACACTAAGCACATTCAAATATTTACCAGCAAAAAATATGAAAGATATTTGTGGGTGGCGTAAGAAAATAGAAGGGAGATTGAAAATTAGGAGAAAAAAGTACTTACATTCCACGGCTTCACCTAATTTAGGCTAAACTCTGCTCCTCGGCTGCTTACATTTATTTGCACAATGAATATCCACAGAGGGAAATTGAAAACGCTTGAAGGAATGTCAAATGTACAAGCTCACTTCCGTTGTTTTTGGTTTTGTTGTAGTCACGCTTTGTTTGGAGTTACTTTTGCTTTGACGAAAGGAACAAGAATAGCCAACAGCGTGGCTTAAAATTTATTGTATACGAGCATATTTCTTTGAAGTGCATATTTTGCAAAAAGTTGTTTGAAACAATTTTAAAATTATTTTTTTTTTTTGTTGATATGAGTTTTGTTGTTTTAATGTACACAGCCTGGAAACCTTTTCTGAACGTTTAAAATTCTTAATGATTTTTTTCGAACGTCCTACTTTTTAGGCCATCTCTAACCAAATGAAATTCGGAATGAAACTCAGAATTTGATAATGTTTAACTTCCTCTACTGGAGTTTCTGGAAGTTTAATAACCTAAAACCGATTTCATCTTAAAAAACTGTCAATATTCATGTAAAAAAGAATAACCCTGGTTGAGAAATGGAAATTAAACAGTCTTGATATACACCTAAACGGCAGGAAGGTAGCTTCAGTCCGATATATGCGGCGTAAGTGGTTCTCTGATCTTTAACAGGTAAGAGTGGGCGTCGTTTTAAAGCAAACGGCTCATTATGAAACTATTTGCAAATGGGTTTGCTCACACGGCAAGGTTGTTTCAGAGCATAAAAAATTAGTCCAAAGAAATACCAATACCTGTTGCTGAGCACGACAAATGTGCTATGGATCACGATTTGAAAGCTTGCCCCTAGAATATACGGTCCATTATTTGGCTGGTTAGATAGGATAGCATGCGCCGGAGGACGCGCCCTACATAGACCTTGGTAGGCAGTCCCAGCTGAAGAACAGTTTTTTTACGTTCTACAATAGTCAGCATAAAAAACTTCCATGCTTTTGGTGAGGTTCAAGAGAAGCTCCTCCAGTCCTTTAATTTCAAATCTTTAGCAAAGCAATTGCATTGAGAGAATGTAATATGTGGAACTCAATCAAATTTATAACATGATCGTTGAGCGGAATGAAATGATTTTTTTAAGTTATGCAGATCTCTATTAAATCTTAATATACGCGCTGTGAAAACTCTTTAAAGTGAAATTTTGTTATTATATAAGCTAAAATTACTTCGAAGTGTTCATTTCATTTTGCGAGTATGAGATCAATGACCCAATATTTTTTCAAAATATCTTCAACTGACTCCGAAACCTATCTATTTTATTTACATATATATATATTTCTTTTTAATTGCACACCGATTTTTCAATAAAAAGGTTAATTTCATTCATTCCATGGTGGTTATTCGTGGCTACAGCTAAAGATAATTTTTTTATTTACGTTAACCTCCTTCCAGTGTTACAAAAATTAAACTGGATAATAAGAAGGCAGAGAAGTTTGCGAGCAAATTTACTAATTCTCTTCAAAACGGAGTTGAATGAAAGAAGGCATTCAGGCTGCCTTGTATGAAATTAATAATTATGAGTTGGGAAAGTATCATTCCTTTTCTGTCTGCGGTCAGCGACTCATTCCTGCAATCTTTTCAGCTTTGCTGTTTGCAATTCAGAAAAATTAATACTTTTGCTATAGATTTCAACCTCAGGCATTCTTAAAATATATTAGACCTGAAAGATTTTCCAAAGAATTTAGATAAAATATGATATCTGCAGGGACCAAAACTTCCCCATTTAAGTGGATCAGGTGAAATGTGGAGTAAAACCAAAAAATTCTTAATTGATAATTTAGAATTTCAGCAAACTGTTGATAATATTTCATTATTAAAACATCTGCAACTGACTATGAAACATATTTGACTGAATAATGTATTGGGCTGCCCAAAAGTAATTGCGGATTTTTGAAAAGAAAGTAAATGCATTTTAAATAAAACTTAGAGTAAACTTTAATGAAATATATAATTGCCATTTTGTTCGATAACCTTTTGCCATCTTCCTGGCAAATTTAGTATTCCACGCTCATAGAACTTCTGGCCTTTATCTGCAAAAAACTGAACCAAGTGCGATTTTATAGCCTCATCATTGCCGAAAGTTTTACCATATAAGGAGTTCTGCAAAGATCGAAATAAATGATAGTCTGATGGTGCAAGGTCAGGGCTATATGGTGGATGCATCAAAAGTTCCCAGCCAAGCTCACTCAGTTTTTGGCGAGTGACCAAAGATGTGTGCGGTCTAGCGTTGTCCTGATGGAATATGACACCATTACGATTGACCAATTCTGGTCACTTCTCCTTGATGGCTGTATTCAATTTGTCCAATTGTTGACAGTAAAGATCCGAATTAGTCGTTTGGTTCCTTGGAAGCAGCTCAAAATATACGACACCCTTCCAATCCCACCAAACAGACAGCATAACCTTCTTTTGGTGGATATCAGCCTTTGAAGTGGTTTGAGCTGGTTCACCATGCTTGGACCATGATCGTTTTCGACTAACGTTGTTGATTCGGTGTGTTAAATGAATTTCTTTGAATACATGTAGTACCCAAATATCAAGCTTTTTCAACAGTCCAAGACTTTTTATGTGATAATGAACGCTTGATTTTGGTATATTTAACTTCTCTCCTATCGCACGCTCAGTTACATGACGATCCAAACAAATGTAAACAAAATTTCGCGCACTTTTTTCTAAAGCAAGCTAAAAGTAACAGCTGATAACTGGCAGAAAAGAATGCAATTACAGAGTCACAAGCCGTTGAAAAAATTTGTCAACGCCGACTATATGAAAATTCCGCAATTACTTTTTGGGCAACCCAATAAATTTCAACATTTATTCAACTGCGTACTGCTTTTAATCGAGTGAGAAAAATTTGCAATTTTTGTCATATTTCAACAAAGAGATTAATTTTAATTTTGAATTTTTTTTACTTTTCCTTCTTCCAGAGTCAAAAAAATTAATTTAGATAATAAAAGGCTGAAAATTCTGTGAGCGCAACTAGTAATTCTAGTCACAACGCAGACTTAATGGAGAGGGAACGGCTCAGCACAGATTTAGCAAGTTCTTTTCGAAAAAATTCAAACAAAACCAAGTACAAATGCTCAAAATACACAAACAACCCGAAATGGCGACACAATCACAGCGTGTGCTCACCCACACTCAGCCCGACGGCGCCTGAATGGTCACGCTATCGACATCCCTGTTTGTACAATGGTAGCACTGCCGGCGCACTCTCGACCCGACTAGAGTAGCAGCGGCAACACACATGGCAAATGCATTAATGACACGACCATAGACAATAGTCATTGTAGAAGGCACAAGCGCGAGTTTTACAGTGCTGCCCGGACAGTGTGGCACTGTAGCAGCAGCAGCGGCGATGCCAATGGCTGTAGTTGGTATCGATGGGAAGTACACGCTGTCCTACGATAATTTGTAGGATTTCAAAATGGATCTATTGGAGCATGAAATATGAACTATTGTACCCGCATTTTTCGGAATTACTGGACTGGTTGGGCTGCTTGGGGAATGTGCATATTATCTTGGGTGAGTTAAAAACATACTGATATATATTGATTACATACGTATGACAGTCAGTGTTTATTCTCTATGTATGTGTGTGTGTGATAATGCTTCATTTCATCCAAATAACAAATGAATGTTTACAAACAGTGGTGGTTGTAAGTATGTATACAATGATATAATGGACTTGCTATCACACGCTCAACATATTTGTGGAAACGTTGTTGTTGTCACAGGCAAAATATCTGTTCCATTGCTGATGCGAAATTGCAGTTAAATTTGAAATTCTGCATTTGCAGACTTGTAATTGCATTATGTGTGACAAATTTCACTGCTCATGAATCAATACCTTTTAGAAAATTAGTGATAAATGGTCGATTTGAATTTTGAGTTTCGCTAATGAGCTCTGCAGCAGACGCCGACAATATATATGTCTATTTGCCCAATAACACATCTCTCGGTGATTGCATTGTATTTAGCCAACGCATGGAGAGCTCATTAATTTAGGTGATTTTACGCTGTCAATATTCGTAATTGCCGAATGAAAAGCAATTTTTGATTGCAACCGCAAAATGATTTCTAATTCAAACTTACTCTCTCGTCATTTCAGCTATTTTTTCGAAGAGTGGGCTGCACTTCTCTAAATTTAGTTTGAAATAATTAAATTTTTTATTCATTTTTCTTGTAAACTTTTCATATTAAAAGTCGGTTAAATTTTGTTACAATCCGCCTCATATTCTAACTAAAAGCGTTCGGTACATTTAAACTGATGAGAAAAGAATTCTCCGCATTTTTTGTCACCAGATGGTATTAGCACTTTCATTTCGGAACAAATTAATATGGTTTTGTCAAGCGAACACATGTTTGCAAACAGAATTTTTTATGAGAAATATTTTGTGAATCGACATCAATGTGAAATTGCTTTTCGATTTGCGAATTACTGAAATTTTTGAAGAAATACGTTGTGTCGTGGTTTTTTTACTAACAGAAACTTAAGATCGCTGCAAAAACGGCCCGAAAAATGTATGTGGTTTACAGTGAGAAAGCAGTAAGTGATCTACAACCCGGTACAACTTTGCTTCCGCCATTTTCCGATAGGTGGCTGTACCGGCTGAGACTGGTTGAAATACATAGATGATAATGCCTTTAAAGTGAGTGTGGACAGTGCCTAACGAATTGTCATCGCCGTTTCAGTGACAGTTGTTCTTGTTTTCGTATTATTCACTCTCGAAAATGTCCTTTTATGTGCCTAATTCTCGCCATTTGCGGGAAGTTTTATTTTTCTGTTACAATTCGAAAACAAATGTAGCTGAAGCGCATCGAATGCTCGGCCTCACGTCGCAAAAGTGGCCAAAAAGTACCAGAAAACGCTGAAATGGGAAGTCTTACCCCACCCGCCGTATTCCCCAGATGTCGCCCTTACTGACTTCCACCTATTCCGTTCGATGGCACACGGCCTGGCAGATCAACATTTTCAATCCTTCGAAGAATTGGAAAAATGGATTGCTTCATGGATAGCGTCAAAAGAGGACTCCTTTTTTCGAGCCGGGATCCGAAAATTGCCGGAAAGATGGGAGAAAGTTGTCGCTAGCGAAGGACAATACTTTGAATAATATATCTGTAAGCAATATTTTGCAATAAAGCTTTTAGTTTTGGAAAAAAACGGCGGAAGCAAAGCTGTACACCTGATAGTTTACTCAATTTTATTTTGAAATTTTGCAAGTCAAAGATTCACCTCATTTTGGTCCTCCAGTCACTCAAAATTTTGATGAAAGTCTGAAGCTGGTGCCGTAAGAGAATACTCAAAGAAGCTCGATATAAATAACCATCAATGAAACCAGTTAAAAGCTCGACTAAATCGAACCATTTCTGAATGGACTCGCCTCATCCCTTAGAGCAGGGATTGACTACGTAAATAGAGATTGAAAAAATAAGCCGTAACCAAAGGCGATCAAGGATATGCCGATTGGGTCGTGGGGTTGGAAGGAAGTGGTTTATTATGAGCTACTTAAATCCAAAGATGCTTTGATGCAACCACCAAATAGCCCAGGTCTTTCATCATCTGACAATAATTTCCTTCGGAGAAGCAGAAGCAAATTCTCTTAATGCTGAAAAATTGGCGGCCCAAATGTCCACTAAAATCCAAGTGCCAGTGTGCAAAGGCGTGTCATTAGTAGTACATACTATCAAGCGGAAGGTCATGGTTTCGAGTTTTGGTTGAACTAAACACAAACGCCTCCTAACATAAATGTCCGAGCGTCGTCCTAATTTTACAAATATGATTTTCACAGATGAAATAAAAACAAATCAACTGTTTCCTTGCTCGACTATGTTAGTTAGCAACAATAACCAGAGAACAGTAGCTGAAACCCCCGCTAAAAATTCGCACAACATGCATTTTATATATTTAGGTGCAGCCTTCAAGATATTATTGAACTGGGAATGTCTTTTAGATTGGTAGCTAAACAAACTGTTTCTGAACGCAACAAGTCGTTCAAAAGATCGAAGTTCGAATGAAAAATGAGAGAAATTGAAACTCATGAATAAGAAAAAAAGTAATAGTCTGTTAACAGAATAACTATTTGAAAATTCAATCGAAAACTCACACAAGGATTCAAGCATGGTATGCTACTCTTTCAGGCCTTTTCTGGAAGCTGAAGTAACTGCAAATCAATCTAGGAGCGGTTGCTAAGGCCAATGATGTCAATGCCATCGGCATACGCCAGCAGTTGTTCACTCTCATTAGAAAGCCTCAACGACATCGACTAACCTTACGTTTTCCAAATTTTTGTCACATAAGGCGCTATAACAACAACAATGAAAGAAAGCAAAGGAAATAAATGGCCTACCTTTAATGCTATTTTTAAATGTCTGAGAGGAGTTCATTTTACACGTAAAAACATATCCGACGATTGGATTTTAACTTTACTCTGCCCAACCCAGAAGAAAAACGACTACGCGTCATCGTGTGGGAGATTGAAATTCACTGCTAACGAGTTGATTAAACACCCCTAGTGAGTTCTTTAGGAATGAAAAGTACACCTTTATTCTTCAGCGATTTTGGAACGTCCTTTAGACCACCCTTAGGAAGGCTGCCGCTATGAATTTTTTATTATAGCAAAATTTTTATGGATGCCTAAAGTGTCACTCACGAGAAGTTTTGTTAAAGATTCCGAACCGTTTGCTATTATGCGCATTTAGAGAAGAAAATATTTTTTTTTTGTAAATTCCAAACAATGAGTCACTCAATAATTACAAAAATTTTTGCCAGAGAGCGACTATTTATGCCTTTAAACCACCCAAACTAAAGGGCGTGGAGATTACCCTCTATCCCGAAGTCAAATACTTTGAGATAATCTTAGAAAGCAAACTAAACTGCAGCCGCAACACGACAGAAAGATCAAGGGAAGTTACAACTGCACTCTACGCCTGCAAAACGGTGATAGGAAAGAGATGGGGATTAAGACCGAGTACCGTGCATTGGATATACACATCAGTAGTTAGACCAATTCTGTTCTGTGAGATCACCGTTTGGTGGCTGGTTCTCGAGAATGTCCCCTTCAGGAGCAAAGTAGAGAGAGTTAAACGATCGACGTCCATCATGTTAACGGCAGCTTTGTCATAAACGCCCATGAAGGCACTGCCAACTGTTCTCAAACTCTTTCCTCGGGACCTATACGGAGAAACTAAAAGCGGGTTGCAACGCAATAAGATTGAATGCGAGTAGGAAAACATCAGCGCCCCCGTCAAAGAGCGATAGCCATCTTCACAAACTGCACGAAGCTCGATGGGAGAGCGAGTTGCGGAGTTTGTACTCCCGTGCTTTCAGTACACATGAGCATGAGAATACCGGATCGTTGCAGCGTTTTCCAGGCGGAACTCTTCGCAACCAAAGAGGCCGCGACATGGTTGCACAAATCTACAGCCGCAGGACAATCAGTTACAATTTACTTCCATAGTCATGCTGCAAACATATCTCTTCAATGTGAAAATACCACTTCCAAAGTAGCCTTAAACTGTTGAAATGTTCTTAAAAAACATTCAACGAAGTACAGTACTAGGTACCTGGACACAGGGACATCCCAGGAAATTGCAAGGCAGACGAACTAGCAAGGGAAGGAATGCTTCTATCTACGATAAAACGCGCAAATGATGCTGGTCTACCTCTGTCCATGGCTAAGTACGTGCTTAAACTGGCCTTCACCAGGGAAGGTGACTCACAATGGTTGAACGAGATCACGTGTAACGTGGCCAGACAGCTATGGCTGAAGTAGAACGCGAAAAAATCTGAACATCTTATCCTTCTGGACCAGTTCTCCATTAGCATAGCGAAGGGTATAAAATAACCGGACACTGTTTAATGGGGCATCACGAGATGGGAAGAAGAGGGGGAAACCATCGAGCACTACCTCTGTTACTATCCAGTCTTGACATCCGCGCGACACAAGTTCCTTGGGAAACACGTCTTCGAGGGTCTCGCTGAGTTGGCCTCAGGAAATCTCCTTGCCTATATACGCAAACGAAATGATTCAATCATTTGAGAAGGTGAAAGCAGGAGCTTCAGCCTATGGGCCGAAGTGTGCTGGGGCTTAACCAGCAGCCGCATCAACTCAACTCAATTATTTATTGAATAAAAAGATATTCTTATTGTCAACTTTTCTTGTTTTATTTGCAAAATAATTCCAATTAAAAATAAACAATATTTCCTATTAAAAAATTACAAAATGTAAATAAAATTAAACCAGCAAAACAATGAAAATACTGCTCCTCAATTGATAATACAAGGCGAAAGTAAACAAAAGGCTTGTCTTTCGATCGCAGAATTAGAGACTTCCCCACTCTTGCGTAGCTCAGGTGTAGAAAATTTCAGGCGTGCCGACGTCGAGTGCACTTCCGTTCTGTTGTACTTTTATGTGCTTCAGGCCATGAGCACAAGATTATATTCTAGTAGTTACACGCCAGGCTATATAATCGTACAATATAAGTACTACATATGCATGACATACTTATGTGTTGATTGCATA